AAGCACTTCACCCCCACCTCCCCGAACGCAAGGCCACCGAGGTTTCAGAACTATATGGTCTGAGTGCTCACATACAGGCCCTTTGATACCCTGGGTAGTGGCTGCTGCCTATGCCGTAATCTACTGTGTGAAAACAGACTCAGGTCATAAATTGCTAAATACAAGAAACAAAAGTCAATCAAGTAAGTCCTCTCAAAAGAATTTAGTTATTTCATATAAATCTGCAAAAAAAAAAAATTTTTTAAAAGAGGCCACATCCTTTCCTCTTCTAAGCTACCTGAGATGTCCTTTAAGTCCTTTTTATTCTCTTCACCAATCACCCTATCACCATACAGTCATCATGTATCAGAGGTAGCTGTGCTCTACGAATGTATACGACGTACAGTCTACTCCAAGAGCTGAGGCCATGAGAGGAGAACAAGGTATGATCTGACAAGCTTCTGCTTTCTCTTATAAATACTATGAGAAATATTATTTGGTAACTTCCAAACACCAAGCTAATGAATTAAATACTTATAGGTAAAAATATATATAAAGTAAAATGCAGTTGCAAATGTATACGAGGGGATATCTATGCCAGCTTTTGGAATGGACTTATAGAGAACACATTTCCTCATGAAAATAGGCTTTACTTATATTTTAACATTTCGAGACATTAAATATGTAATAGTTTTCCCAATGGCATATGGCTTGAATTGATATTGGTAAATAATTGTACATAAAATAAAACTACACTGAAAGAGATGTTAGTAAAAATGACAAAACAGAGGCAGTAGAAGCCATTGCACAGGTGTATGCCATATTACAAGTTGAAAAAAAAATCTTGCAATTACAGGCCTACACTATTTATTTCACTTGTGTGTAATTACATTTTGTACATGTTTGTTTAGGAATATCAATCCAAGACATCGTTTTGAGAATATAATTAACTGGATGGTAGAACAGAACGTGTGTGTGTTTTTACTATTTTTGTGTTTCTGTATTTCAAACAAGTTGGTCTTTGTTAGCTGTGTTTAACTGCCATCTAGAGTTAAAATGAATCCATTTCTTTTCCCTTCTACTACTTTTCTTCAAAATTTTAGGCATATAAGCCAACATGTTTACTATTTCACATCAAACAAATATAACAAAATTGTAAAAGGACAACTTTATCCAATTTTTCGAAGTACCATTAACATTTCCACCAGCTGCAAATATTTTAAGTTGACTAAAACTTGAGGCTCCCATTTAATCTAATTAAAACATTATTTTTTGAAAGTATAAACAAACTAGTAATCAACGTCGTACACATTTGAACTTGGGGAAATACATTAGAAACTTGCAGAAAATTAATTTGCCATCTAGCTCTTTGGCTTTTTACTTGTATTTTTTTCAGAGCCCAAGAAAAGCATACCCGTATATAAAGATATTCAGGAATCATTTCATGTTGTTAACCTCGCTGAAAAAAATGATTCTAAAAATGAGCCAAATCCCAAGTGTATATTTAACTAGGGTTTTCAAAATTCTTACATTAAAAGTAACATTCAGTTTCAAATATGAGGTTTGTAAGAACAAGCCATCAATAGAATCAAACTCAGCTTTCAATTTAATAAAGTCATTTCTGGAAAGCAATACCCAAAAGAAAAAAAAAATCAGGTTTGAAAGTAAGACCCGAAGCTCTAGCAAAAGAAGAAATGTATTCATACAAAAGTCTCAAAAAACTAGATAAGACATCATCTCATGCTTTTCTCACGTAAATGAAGGATATGGGTGATTTTTTAAAAAATTATCTGTCCCAAACGCATTAATCAACAGACTATCTCACAATATTTTAACATACCATCAGATCTTGAAACAAAGAAGTGGCAATGTAGAAAGACTGCAACTCTTATTCTTTCAAAGGAAATTTTAAGTTTTCAAGGAGAGATAGCAAACAATAATAATGAGAAACAGGCTAGTGCCAAGAGCCTCCAATTTTTTTAGTAAACAGATGCAGAGCATCACAAAAAGATGGAAACTGCAGAACGCAGTGCTCCAAGTCGTGAAGTATGCATTAAGAAGGTTTTTAATTGCTTACTCAATAGTGGACTCATACAGTTGTTACTGAATTCTAAGAGCAAGGCCTGGGGTGGGGGTTGGGCAGGAAGAGACATGGAGAAAATAAACAGGCAGAACTATACAAAATTCCCACTTCAAGAAAAGCCTGAGTTAAAGAGTTAGAGAGACTAGTGAGTAAACTGAAAGCCGCTGGGAAATCAAGGAGCCAGGATTAAATGGGGGGGGGGGGAAAGGCTTTTAAATTATACACAGCTGGAAGGGTGTCAATTTAAGACAAAAGGATTGTGTGAGCTTTAAATTGCCGAAATTTGGGGAGGAGAAAATATACGTATTTTACTATGTATACAAAACACAAGTGATTTGCTAAGAATTATCATGTGTGCTTTCAATTTAAAAATTCTAATGCGTTCCAAGTGAATTTTAGAACCAGTGAGGTTTTTAATTTGCTCTCGCAGGAAGGAAAAAGCTTATGCAAATTCTCACTGGAAATCTCTAGGAATGAGCATAGTTTTATCAGCACAGTCTTATTCTCTCAGCCAAGAATGTCTACAATGCAGGCAACCAGCTGTGATAATGACTTCTCTATTGCACAGTTTTATCTGATTAGACCTAGATTGATAGCTGATTCGTTGACAAAAGATCCTGAAGAAGTATCTGGTTGTAAATTCTCTTTGGTCAAAACCCATCCAGGACCAATTTAAGGCATTTCAGAGATATTCTGAGCATAGAGTATTTTTCCATAGTGAAATGGACCATCTACAACTCTGGAAAAAGATAAAAGTCCAATGATTATATTTCAGAGTGAAGAAAAGCAGAAAAACAAGCAAATGGACCCACTGCACCAAATTTCATCTGGGATTTCCTGAAACAAGGGAGAAAGAAAAAAACCACTAACTCCATTTCAGGCATGAGTGCTTCATTTTCTTATTACTTGTCTACCCAAAGTACACCCAAAGGATGTCTAAAAAAGATGGCCTCTGTGTAAACCATAACTGCAAACCTCTGTATAAACTATAACTTACTGTAATTTCAAGTCTGAAACTGTCAAGGTTTCTGGGATTCTTTTAATTATTTCTTAGTCTCCAAAGCTTGTCCTTTCTTCTCCATCAAGTCTCCTACTTCTATTCTTTACTTATCAGTCTCACCTTTTCCAATCCTTCCTTCTCTTTGTTACTGTCAAACCTCTATTTTCTAAGTCTCTGACACCAGATATGAAATCTTCAAAACTGGGGGAAATGAGGAGAAAACATTCTTCTCAATGCTTCCTTTCCACGGCTCCTCACCCCAGACATATTCTCATGCACACACTTCCATAAGGGCTCCTTCACTTACAAGAGTTCACACCCCATCTTGCCACCTGATACCCCCAATTACAAAAGCAGACCTCCAAATTCCACCCAGTTTGCAAAACTCAACTTAGCCTTCCAAAGTGTTATCTAGGGGTGCCTGGGTGGCTCAGTCGGTTGAGCGTCCAGCTTCAGCTCAGGTCAACATATCACGGTTCATGAGTTCGAGCCCCCCATCTGGCTTGCTGCTCTCAGCACAGAGCCCACTTCAGATCTTCTGTCTCCCTCTCTCTCTGACCCTCTCTTGCTCACACTCTCTCTCTCATAAATATATGGACTTTTTAAATGTTACCTAGACTATTCCTGCTCTTGGTGCTCTTTCTTCTCTAGCACCCTCACAATCTGCAGGATACGTTTTAGTGACACATTATTGACATACTGTACTCAATTACTTACAATACTAACATCAAGCTGGGACTCATTTACTTACAATATGGTCATAAATCAGGTCTCTAAACCTCATTTTTCTCAGCTATAAGAATGGGGATAGTAAGTTAAGCAACCCTGTCTTGCTCACAGGGCTGTTACGAGGATTAGATGAGGTAAATCACACACAGCACCTAGTACAGAATGAACAGTCAATGAAAAGGAGTCATTATTATGTTGTCAGCCAAAATCCTCTAGCTTTCTGTATATACTTTAAGAGCCCTGTAGGCTTTTGAGGGCAGAAACTATATCTGAGAGATATTTAATAAATGCATCTTTATAGAATTTATGGCTAAAGAGCACAGGGTTTTCTAAATGATGAGGCTAAGGAACAATTTTAGCACAGTGGTGGGCAGAACTATACCAGGGTTAGGAAATACTAACTTCACTGCACATTTACAGAATGCCCCATTATGAGCCAGGCATCACTTACAAGGTTCCCATAATCTGTGTGGTAGACCAAGAATATCTCACTCCAAGAAGTACCCAAACCTACCTAATAGAGAAGCTGTGTAGAGACAAACTGTGCAATTGCCACAGATACTTTTTCCCCAGCCAAGGGTCTCACAGAAAAGATCAACTGGGGGCTGTCATGAAGAGCGGAGCTATCACAGCAGATCTTTGAGTAGAGCAAGTGCTTTTACAGGATGCTACAAAATACTCCGTCTCTCTAGATAACTTTTAAGTGTCTGTGAGGTATTCCTCATTACTGTCCCCCTAAAAATTGCAAGACAATTCTAAGGTATTCCTTGATTCACTCCTAGGGAAGACGATGACCTAAAGAAGCGAGATTCCAAGTCAAAAGAGCTGGGTCTGTCCCAATTATGTCACTATGCATAAAGCAGGAGAGGCGAACAAAGTTTGTTTTAAACAACATACAAATGCTTTCATGTGCAGCCTCAAGGTTCATGCAACCCATTGCCAATTAAAAAAAAAATTCTTACTTGTAAATTTACATAAAAGGTAAGAATGCCTTGTACCCATGCAAAAGCTCTATTTCATTCCTACAACAAAGGGCCATTCAAAGGTTTATTTTTCATGTTTACTAAGGAAGGCTATGGGACAGCTAAATCGAAAGTCCTATCAACTGAAGACAGAGCTCTCTTAAATTATGATGCAAATTCAATCCCAGATTATTTCAAGGCCATTTTAGTTGCTGAGGATACAGCAGCAAATAAGAATCGAGAATACCTGTTCTTAGGGTGAAGAACAGTGGTACAGTGTTGTGTTCTGGAGAGAAATACAGCAGGAGGAGGACAAAGAAGAAATGGAACTCCTCTCTTATATTGGAGGTCCAGGGGAATGCTTCCTTGAGGAGGCAGCATTGAAAGATAAGGAACTGAGTCTACGTGAGTTTCTAAGGAATGGGTTTTCCAAGCAAAGGAACCATAAAGCGCCATAGTCCTGAAGCATCAGCGGAGTTTCATGGAGATATTCTAGGAAGAAAAAAATACGAGACACCGGGACTAGAGTCTGGCACTTCGCCCTTGACCAACTCAGTAACTTTAGGAAGAAAACAACTTTACCTCTCTTGAACCTCAGTTTCTACCTCTGAAACTAAGGAATAGTACCTCGTGTCTCACCAACTTATTTCAAAGGGGAAAAAAAGGTTTAAGAATGCGTTTCACAGCACAAAAGGATTATTTCTAAGTGCGGGGTCCTGAGGGCCGTGGGAAATTTCATTAAACCTCTGCGGGCTTCAAACCACAACCTAAATAAACGGCCGAGCTTGTCTGCTCCTCTGTTAAATGAGGACAGTGGGACCTACCCAACCCAGCATTGTGGTAAAGGGCCGAGATAATCCACATAACACCGCGACCCGCATGCAGACCCCTCAAAACGTCACCGATTAATGTTACTTTCCCTAGTGGGTGCGAACAGGGGCTCCGCTCCCCCGCTTAGCAACGGAACACCAGGGTGAAGCTCTTTGAATTAAAGTGCTTTTACTCACTGTAAAGACCATTCAATCCCTTTGGAGTACCTTGAAGGGGGCTTCCCCATTTTCATACTCCGTGACTTTCTAGCTTCCCTCTCTGAAGCCTTTTGAACGGATACAGGTCTCATTTTAAAAGGCCTTGAAATTGAGCTACCGCCAAACGCTTTCGCAAGGCTCGCAGCTACCGCTTCGGGAAAACTCCCGCGCCAGAGGTCCGCCTTTTATAGCAACGTGATTACGCCACCTCGTTGCGCGTGCGCAATGATGGCGGCGTGACCACGCCCAGGCCTGTGCTGGGACCCAGCATCCGCACTGTAGCGGACGCCTTTACCGAAAAGGTCTAAGCGCGGCTAAGTGAGTGGAGTCCCACGGCGTTACGGGCCGCGGGTGGGGGCCCTGACTGTCCGAGAACGGCGCAGGTGTCCGCAGGGCCGGCGGGTGGGGGGAGAATGTTGTTAACGGGGAAGGGCTGGGGTGATGAGGAAAGGTCGTTGAGTCCTGAGCAGGAGTTGGAGTGGTCGGAGGATTGAGGACTCTCAGACCATGGGGATCTTCGGTTCGAAAGGCAGTATTTATCTTGGGGTTTGCCTGGAGTGCTGATGGCGGGCTTACGGAAGAGAAGTTACCATGGACTAACTTTCCGGGATTTCCTTGACGCTGCAATGGAAAGTGGGAGGAATGCGGCGAGGAGTGGCCTGCAGTGATCTTAGAGGAAGTATCTGTAACTAGATCCTTGCGGGCGGGCCTGGAGAGGTTGCTGTCCGCGGTGCTGAGCAAAACACAGCGGTTCCTTTAGAAGGAAACCCGATGAGGGCAGGGCAGTGGTTCCTTGGCTGGGCTCAGGGCCCTACACCTCCATGCATGTACACAGAAGGAAGAGCTCAGTCTGTCAGCGCTGGACACTCCGAGATTAGCGACAGTATGTAATTCATAAAATTTAGGAAAGCCAGTGCTTCGCCCGAGGAAAGAATTTCATTCATGTTTTTTTTCTCCCTTAGGACAGTCACCTTTGGCTTTTGCACCCAGCCAGATGATTTGCCTTCAGGCTCCCAGCCTTCAAAGTACTGCACTTGATCTTTTATCAGTATTGATCCAGGCTCTTCAGTCAAGGTGAGCTTGCTCATGTGCCATTAAAATGGGATTTCCCAAACTCCCCAAACAGGACTCCTGAGCACGCAGGGTACAGTGAAGGGAACAATTGTGCTTTTCCACCGCAGTTACACATGAAAAATACTTTCTTATTTGGAAAAGAGATGGTAGAACTGGGCAGTCTTCCAATAAAAGAAAGACCATGAGTTTCCAGTTGGTTCTCATACTTGTTTGCCTTTCTAGGTGTGTATGCACATGCATGAGAGGTGGTGTTCCTGTGTTGAATTTTACAGAGTGGATTTTTTTTCTTTCTGTTGATTCAATAAAATGTTTACTAGTCTTAGTACCAGCTGCTTGTTTGTTTTCAATTCAGATTAAGGTTAAAGTGTGAGGAAATAAGAGGAAGAAATGTGAAATGTTTAGTTTACCTGATTCATGGTGTTTGGGGATGCACCTGGCATATGAAAAGCTGCGCATCGTAAATAAAAATGGTTTTAAGTGCATTCTCTCATTTTATGCATTACATCTCAATTTTTATTTTTCAATTCTGAGAGAATCAATGGGTTGAGGTAATAAAACCATCAACTCTTGAAAAGCTGAGGATATGTAGTAGAAATAACTGTACATGTTTTTATTATTTAGCAGAAAGCTTATAAGGCAGCTTTGACTAAAGATGACTTCGTTGCTTGCTCAAGAAATTCGCCTTTCTAAAAGACATGAAGAAATGTAAGTTGTTTTTTTTTTAAGGCTTATCTAAATGAATACATTGTGCTGGCTTTCTTAGTGAAATATTGTGTGAACAGACTTAAAAATCTGAAAATGTGTCATTTAAATTTTCTAACACTTGAGAGATTTGGTATTAGGGAACCTCACTGTCTCTTAAGAATAATAAAGATTAAAAGGGTTATTTATGTTTTTACTTTGCTTTGCTATTACCTAGATAAATTTACCCTTCTCACCTTTCTAAGTTCCTCACTGGTATTTAATGGACTTCTCTAAACCTCTTACCCATAGCAGGCTTGGTTTAATGGTCTAATGTTGCTGTCTTGAAACGTGTAATAGTTTTTTTTTTTTTTTAAAGGAGCCCCATATTTTCATTTTGCATTAGGCCTTACAAATTATATAACCAGTCCAGTACTTCTATTGATATCAACCATCTCCACCTCTTTCTGTGGGCTTTCATGTTTTCTTTAATTAATTTATTTTCTTTAGTTCATTACCAGGCCCCCTTCCTTGGCTTTCTAAGGTATTTTCCTTATAAAAAATGTTCAAATTACTCAATTTTAATTCTACCCTCATGTATTTTTTATCATCTGACATTTTTTTAATTAACCATTTAAGAGGGCCAAAAAACTTGTAAAATGATGATTTGACCAATGAGACACTTTTAAAATATATAAAACAAAGCAGTTTGATAATTTACTTACAACTTTTTACATCTTTCTTCAATTACTGTTTCACCTTGTTGTGAGTATGCATACATACACACAGCCTCTCACTCATATATGGAACCATCATCTTTCTCTTGGAAAAAGAGGAAAAAAATATTTTTATTGCTTCTTCAAACATATGGAAGTTTAGCGCAATTCTAAATGTGTAACATGAGATTCAGGGGTATTGAAGTGTTAAGCAGAAGGTTTCGTATAGCAAGTTATATCAATGTATGTGTGTGGGGAGGTATATATAAGTATGTGTACAAAGGGATATGTATTACAGTTTGCATTTTCACCAAAAAATTAAAACATGTTTTAACACTCTAAAATAATTGCAAAGACCATAGAGGCTAAAAAAAAAAAAAAAAAAAAAAAAAAAAGAAGCATGTACTTACAGTAGATACGTTAATGAAAATAATTTTACCCATATTTAAGACTTACTGAACTATCTTAGTTTTCTACTGTCTTAATAATTGACATAGTAGTTGGCTTTCAAAATATGTTGAACTTGAATTGAGGTGTAATTAAGAAATGTACTTCCATATTGAACAAGCTAAAATGTTCCCTTAAAAAAAAAATTATATAATCTTCCTTTTTTCTAGAGTATCACAAAGATTAATGTTACTTCAACAAATGGAGAATAAATGTCTAGATGAAAACAAGGAAAAGGCATCTCAGATACAAGCAGCTCAAACTGCTCTTAAAAGGAACCTTAGTCTTTTAAAGGTAAGTTTCATTGATTTTAGATATTTTCCCTCACCTATGCAAAAAAGGTTTTAAGTGAATTTCATAATTTTGATGTATATAATTTGTTTTGAATAAAATTAACGAAGTACCATCTAGTTTTTAAACCCATGTTAGATAAGTTGCATATGGATTCTCATTTTTTTAATGAAAAAAAAAATGGAAGTTTGCTTAAGCTAAGTGTTTTTAATCAACCAGAAAAATCAGTGACCACGGAAGGAATTTAAAGGTCACCTTTGTGCAAGACGTAATAAATTTAAGATACAGCTCTCTATCTTCTTTTATTTATCGGGAGATTCTAAAACCCCATGAAGTACCTATAATGTTTTTAGATCCAACTCAAAACTATCCTCATAAAAACGAGAACAATTTGATTTTGCCCTATTGGGGCCACAGTCAACACACAGAATTCATATCTAACAGATAACAGATTTCCCAGATCTCTCTTGATAGTGATGGAGGAGGTGGTCAAAGTATGTGATTGCGCAGGGCCTCACCATTTGGCCAATGTGCCCATTTGGAGTAAAATCATATGTGTAACATTTTTGGCTGCTTGCTATACTTTGCTTCCAGAATTGTATGGCTTCATCCATAATTAAAACCCTAAAGTTTGCTTCCATTCAAGCTTCCAAGAGATCCTATGACTAAAACATTTGGTAGTAAGGCTATATTATTTAAGTTATAAAGCAGTGTTTTCAGTTTTTTATTGTTAAATATTTTCATCGATAGGCATGATATAGTTATCTTCTGTAGTCACTAGAGGATAAAGGAAGAGGGAAATTCAGTTATCTTCTCAGCTTCTGGCAGTTTGATCCACAGTAATTTAAGTCACAGCCATAGTGCTACCAAAGCATTCTATGTTGCCATATGTCTTACTTGCCCAATGGTGTTTGCAATATTTATTTTTAAATGGAAATATATAGGATAATCTGGAATTTGCTGTGAAAATTCAGAAAAACTAAATTAGAAGGCTTGAAGGCTTGACTGCTACCTACCTGCAACAAGTACAGGTGTTATTCGGATTTTTCAAGTTTGTCTTCCTTTTAGTGAGCAAGTATTTGGTGAATGCCCGGAGTCCTTACTACTAAGCTAGTTCTCAGCAGAAGGTGGAGTCAACAAAAGAATTCAGAGTTCTTTACATCCAGTAGCTCATAGGCTTAACTGATAACCTAAGGTTGAGGTTGTCACACACAAAATAGGAGACCTTAGGAGATCAAACATTCAGTTAGGTGGAATCCTCAGCACTGCGGGACTAAGTATAAAAACTCATCAAAAGCTAAAATATTCTAACAAGTCTGACAGTGGAAGCTAAGCTGGAACGGTGTTTGAATAGGCACAAGGTAAGGTATTCCACTGCATTCTTACAGAAGAACCAAGCCCAGAAGAATGAATAGCCCAATTAATGTTCACGGGACCCTGAGCTAACTACCTCTTAAAGCCACAGGAAGCAAGGTTGGATAGATTTTGTGAGACCCAACTGAAGAATCTGAGACTTGATATATAGGGATAATACAGTACTAGACATGTTTGAGCAAAAGAAAACTAGAGACTTACATAAGAAACATATGGGTATTTAAGAAAAGATTCATCTCCTATTCCGATGAATGTGATTTGAAGAATGGAGAGCTTAGATTAAAGAAGAATAGCTAAGAAATCATTGTCCTATCTAGAAGGAAGATAATGAACCTAGTTTCATCGTCTTTTGGTATGGTTTTTCTCCCCCCGATAATAAAATATATTCTCACTGTAATAAACTTGAAAGCGTAAAGAAGATGAGCTAGCATAGTTGTTTTTAATGTTTTTTTAATCTTTATTTTGAGAGAGAGAGCATGAGCAGGTGAGGGCAGACAAGGGGGGGAGACAGAGATAGAGAGAGAGAGAGAATGAATCCCAAGCAGTCTCTGCACTGTCAGCACAGAGCCCAATGAGGGGCTCGATCCCATGAACTATGAGATCATGACCTGAGCCAAAGTCAAGAGTCAAATGCTTAACTGACTGAGCCACTCAGAGCCCCTGAAATAGCTTTTTTTCCATATCACCCCACCCAGCTAGAAATTAGTATTTTTTTGTATTTTTCCTGTCAGTCTTTTCATAAACAGATACAGTGTGTTTGCTGTTAGACATGCAGTCTCTTCACTTTTTTTAAAAACATACTTTGAATATTTGTATATGCAATTTTTTTATCCTGCTTTCCCTCTTCTTATTTTGTTTGAAACTCTGTAAAGAGATTATTGTGCAAGTGACATAAATAAGACTTGATCACAGAATATTCAGTTGGGAGCAACTTTTAAACGCATATAGAGTCACTTCTCATTGAAGGTTATACTTTTTTTTTTTTTAGCATAAAAACTTTTCTTCAAGATTAAAGTAAAAATGGACCTGCTTTGGCCTAAAGCCCCACCCATTTTGCCCTTCCTTGTCTGCTCTATTGTCACTCTAAGGAATGGTGAAAAACACTGACCACTGCTATTGCCTTAATTTAGAGCTGAGGAAACCATAAGGTAACTAACTACTCCTAATACCCCTGGTCAAGAACAGTTTCCGTTACATCACGATATGTACTTAAGACCAGAATACACTTTAAAAATGGTTCCACTAAAACTTGGAAGCATTCTTGTAAAGACACTAATAACAATAGAAGGATGAGCTCTATCAGCATCCATTATTTGACCTTAGTGTTTCTTATATTGGTCAGAGCATCCAAATAACAGGGAGTAAGCCTTGATTTTTGGAAAGGAAGATCTAACACTAGTATTTTTAAACGATATGGCTGTATATGTAGACAAGCCAAAGTTGTTTTCAAACTAGTATTAGTTGAGTAAAATTAATGGATAGAAAGTAAACATAAAAATATCAGTAACAATCCTATAGATATACTTGGAAAATAGGAGATCACATTCACATTAGCAATGAAATTATAAAATACTTGGGAATGCTCTTAACAAGGGACGTATGACTGTTACAATTACTACATTTCAATGGGAGATTCAAGAGAAAATTTAAATGGAGACATATGCCTTAATCCTGATGGGAAAACTATTATTTTTTAACTATTATTTTTATGACACCAGTTGTCACAAAGTTATGTTTTTTAAGGTTTATTATTGAGAGAGGGAGAGAGAGGGAGCATGAGTGGGGGAGGGGCAGAGACAGTGAGAGGACAGAGGATCTGAAGCAGGCTCCTCACAGACAGCAGTGAGCCCAATGTAGGGCTCGAATTCATAAACTGTGAAATCACAACCTGAGCTAAAGTCGGAGGCTTAACCGACTGAGCAACCCAGGCACCCCACAATGTTATTTTTAGATCCAATAGAACCCCACAAAAATTTCACATCAAACCCAACAAAATTTCTCTAAATGCATTTGGAAAAATAAATTAGCAAGAGTATCAAAGAATGTCTTTAAAATCGGATGATAATGAAAAGACTAATCCCAAACTGTTCAAGCATATTAGTAAAAGAATGAACATGAGTTTACGTAGAGAAGAAAACTCACACTGAGGGTTTAGTCAGTAAGTATCATAGATGATAATGGATTGTTAGCTTGTTAGTTTCCAGAAATGAAATAAAATGAAATTTATCTGCCTTTTACAAACAAAATCGTCGGGGCGCCTGGGTGGCGCAGTCGGTTGAGCGTCCGACTTCAGCCAGGTCACGATCTCGCGGTCCGTGAGTTTGAGCCCCGCGTCAGGCTCTGGGCTGATGGCTCGGAGCCTGGAGCCTGTTTCCGATTCTGTGTCTCCCTCTCTCTCTGCCCTTCCCCCGTTCATGCTCTGTCTCTCTCTGTCCCAAAAATAAATAAAAAACGTTGAAAAAAAAAATTTTTAAACAAAATCGATTTAGAAGAGAGAATTGTTTCCATAAATACTTCCAGGATGTAAAAGGTCATCTCTTTCCACCTCCTTCCTTACCCCCACCACCAGTGACAAAATTGTTTAACCCAAAAAGTCAGTTTTGTGGTAGCAAACATCATCTTGTGAAGAAAATGAACAAACATTCCAGGGTGAGAAGGAACAGGAGTGTGCTACAGCAGACTAGAGATATGGCAGATGCTTCCTGTAAGGTGCATCCCGGAAGCCTTCTTGGGGTGGCTGCCGGTTAGAGCCTTGAACCAGCTGCCCCCCAGGATGGCCAATAACTTACAGGACCCCATCTCTCCTCTTCCCTACTCACATTTCTCACTTTCTCCAAATCCAGTGAAGAGCGAGTTTAACAAATGCTTAAGTGCTGCTTGTACCAGTGACCCTGTATCTCATGCCTAACTATCTTCTTTTTGCAATCCCAAAAATTGCACCTTGAGCACATTAAACAATTAGACCCAGCCCAACCAGAGCTGGCATCACTGCATAGATTTATAGGGAGATATCCATTGCTGGGTTGAGAGGGAGGGACAGGTCTAGTGAGGGGAAAAGAAAGAAATCGCAGTGCATGACTTTTTGTGCTCACAGTTTACCTTTCCTAATCATGAGTCAACTCATTTATAGAGGCTGCTGAATACTGCCATAGAGTAACATTTACACCACCATCCATACTGGAAACTTGTTTTTTAATTGTTATGAAAAATTGCGAACCTATGTAGAAGAGGAAATCGAAGAATGAACTTCCATGTGCTTATCACCCAGATTCAGTAATTATCAAAACACAGCCAATCTTGTTTCATCTACACTCCTCACCTTCACCCCCAGCCCGCCCCTCAAATTATTTTGAAGCTAATCTTCAGGCATGCCATTGTGTCATCTATAAACACTTTGGTGTACATCTATTTCAGTGTTTATCAAAGATAAGGGCTATTTCAAAGTATAATCGCAATACCACGGTCAACTTAAGAAATTGACAATTCCTCACATATTCAGTTGAGATGCCCATCTCCCATATTAACTTTTTAAATATTTTTAAGTTTACATATTTATTTTGAGAAAGAAAGAGAGAGCACAAACAGGGAAGGAGGGAGAGGGAGAGAGAATCCCAAGCAAGCTCCTTGCTGTCAGTTCAGAGCCTGATGAAGAGCTCGAAACTCAGACCCTGAGATAACCTGAGCAGAAACCAGAAGTCAGACGCTTGACAGACTGAGCCACCCAGATGTCCCTCCCTTATTAACTTATCAACATGGTTTTACATTTGTTTGAATCAGGATCCAAATAAAATCCAGTATGTAATTGACAGATAGGTTTCTCTAATCTCTAGAAGTTCCCTCTGCCCCACCCCATTCTTTTCTAACCCCCTTTGAATTTCTTTGTTGAAGGAACTGGCTCATTTCTCCTATAGAGCTTCTCACAATCTGGATATTACTAATTACATTGCTGAAGTATCATTTAGTATGTTCCTCTATTCCCCATAATTGACATAGATTGATAGGATGAAGTTGTGCTGTGCAACAGAAATGTAACGCAAGTATTATAAAATTTCCTAGTAACCATTTTTAATAAGGTTAAAAGAAACATTAAATGAAACATTAAAATTTTCATATTTCAAATATATTGCTCCTGAAAGTTAGTACATACATACCTTGTTCTTTTTTCTTACTGGGCCTTCAAAATTCAGTGTGTATTTTACATTTCCAGCGCATCTCGACTCAGACTTGTCACATTTCAAATTCTCAGCAACCACATGTTAATGCTCTGCATTTCTAGAGACCTGATCACATTCAGGTTCAGTGTTTTGGGGGAAGAACACTTTTGTAATGACTCGTTGTCTCTCCTTCTGGAATGTCAGCAGTCACTGGTGATCGTGGCCTACATATGCTTATCAGGGCTTGCAAAAAGTGATATTTGCATTCTTCTATTCCTTCTTATTCGATTACTGATCATTTACAAGAAGATGAACCTGCCCTCAGCAGATAGTTGGTTATACTGAAGTACATTTCCTATAGGAACAAGCATGATGAGTGCTTGATTCTTTTCTCTGTACTTAGTTTTCAAAAATAACAGGTTGATTCTCTAGTATCCTCCAAAAGTGACAAATTGGTGTTTTTAAATATGGCTGCAGTGTTCAATCTGTATTCCCACTGATGCTCCACCTGTCCCATTTTTACCAAGTGGAAACCTCCAAGGTAGCTCATGAATGCCTCTGACCTGATCTTAACAGTCCTTGGTAGTTTACTTTCTTTCTGGTACGATGATATCTATCAGGTTAATCATACGGATTTGGAATTGGCCTTTGCTCCAAGGAGCCCTGGATCCTTTTGATAGGAATGTATATTTAGAGCCCTTGATCCGGTGTTTCTTACAACTTTTTTTAAAGATAAAATTGAAAAAAAAAAAAAAAAAAAAAAGATAAAAGTCAGCAAGAGCTCGTATCAATAATTCCATTTCAATCACATGATTCCAAGACTTTTAACTTAAAATCATCAACCTGTAACTCTTTTTTTTCCCCCTCAAACCAAAAATCTCAGTTCGCAAGTAATTTCCCAGTACCAACCTCATAGTCATTTACTGTATCCCGTGATAGAGACACCACTACCAGCAACAGTATGATTACAGACTATGGCTCTCAGCCAGAAACTTTTTACAATTCTTTTTGTCCTTGGGGTACATCTCACTATGGATGCTCAGTCAAAATACCGTGTTCTAAGACCACCTGATGTACTTTTTTCTTGATGTGGCTATGCCACCAAATAGACAACAGGTTTGTTTCCTTTTGTTTTCAACTTTTAGGGATTGCTTTTTCATTTGTTCTGTAACTATATCAATTTTTCAATGATATGTATCAAGTGACAGATCTGTAAAAAACAAGATAAAAAGGTCTAGTCAGGCAAGTCTACCCTCTTTTCACCTGCTTTTTTTCTTCTTCCCCCCAACCCCCTTGGGTACTTTTTTTTTTTTAAGCTTTTCATTTATACTCAGGAAACTTTTGACACCTTAATCATTTATTTATGTAGTGAATATTTAAGAGTTTAGTACACGCCCTGCACTTTATAAGATTCTCGGATGCTTAAAGGTAGTAGCAAACATAGTCCTTATCATCTCGCAGTGTAGAGTCAAAGAGAAGGTTCTTCATTGAAAATAATATGATATAACTTGCTACAGAAGGTAGAGATTTTTCAGTCAGGCTGAGGAATTCATATTTTGTCCTCTGTGTAGTGGGTATGTTTTTTTTTTTTTTAAGTAGGTAAAGACATATTTAGGTAGTAATTTTAGCAAAACTAATCAATTTCATATGAGGTTGAAATGAGACATAGTCTAAGCCTGGGTCCAAGTCATATTTGTTGAACAAGTAAGTAATAATAAGGCCATAGCACAGGATGGCATGGACAGACTAGAGGAGACATCCTGAAGGATCAGTCTACGGACCTTTGCATTTTTAAATGTCAGGGAATAAGAAGAGTTGAAGATAGAAGATGCAGCATCGGTGTCCGGGGGAGGAGAACTCCCACTATTGTATATTCAGTACAGTCAGGAGGACTGTTTTATTAGGTTGAGGAATAAGGGCTAGGAAGTTAAGTTATCTGTCCCTCTACATTAAGAGCTGAAGCTAGATAAGAGGCAGTCTTGGAGAGAGCAAAAGTAAAAAGATGAGGACAGATGTCACAAATCTTAAGAAAGCCCACACTTCAGATTAAGAAGAGAAAAAAGGAGCCAGCTAAGGAGAAAGAGAAGTAGGAGGCAGAGAGGTAAGCAAAACAGCTAAGAAAGTAAAATCTCACTTGAGAAAGAAGTTCTCTGGAAGGGTGATAATCCCTTGTCGAAATGCTTCGGAGCTGACAGTCAAGTTACTCACAACAGGCCTGTCTTACCAGGCCACAGATCCCTGCTCATGTCTACTCTTTCATTGCAAATCTGCTCTTCTAGGAGAGAGATTCAATATCCTTACTTTCTGGTCTTTAAGGCAAAGGTTTATAATCTTGTCTATAGGTGCAAGTGGCACTTAGATCTACCACTAACAGTAAATTTGTAACTATTCTAATAATGGTGTAAATGGAGTTAGGATTCTTTTGTTTGATTTATAACAGTTCCAGGACCTTGTACAATCTCAGTGCAATCACAGAAGAGTTAATCTTCACTATTCAGTGTAGCATCGGCATCAAAAGCTCTTTAGCATGTGTCTCAGCTACAAACTTCTGGTGGGGAATAGACAGGGCTATTAGATGGGCTTTTGATCCCTAAATTGCTGGTTTTCCCCTTCAAATCACCTTCTTCTAGACAGCAGGTGCATTAATGGTTGTGCAACTTTGGGGAGTCCCTTTAGGGAATTTCCTGTTTTTCCCTTTTACATTTCACACCCATTCCTTGCTCCCGCCGCTACCATCTGCTCGCTCTTTTCTCCTGTTCAGCATTGGATTCTTCACACCCCACTCCCACGCCCTTTTCCATCGCTCTCCGTCTGTCCAACAGCCCTGTACTTGGATTGCTCCAATGCTTGTACATGGATCAGAGAACTTTCTCTTTTCGATCAACTCACTAAGCTCAAAGGAGAGACAAAATTTACACAGCCTTGAGCCAAGGCCTCTGTGAACTTGACAAACATAAGCAAGCACAAGACAACATAGGTGCCAACGTGAGGAGCATGAAACAGAGCTCAGCATTTCACTAACGACTTGGAATGTTCTACATTTCTGGGCATACACTTCATCCACATATCAAGGTAACATCTTTACCCGAGTATGAATTAAGTGTAATTAATTACCCTTGTGTTTCTACAACCATAAGAGCAAATGCACACACCCACGAATTAAACTACAAATTAAAGCCCAGTGCTTAAAAGCCATCAGATGAATGATGCACAACGTAGCAGTAAAGCTGGCCATCGAGACTGTCCTAGAAATCTAGTACTAAAAATCTAGAGTGTAGTGAAAAGGCTTTTGCTGCAAAGTACAGAGGTGTCTCATGGTCTTTCTTTTCAATATGTGGAGAATTTGCATGAATATAAAATAAAAAGAACACCGAACAAATGAAATGTGTGACATTAATATACCACTTCCATGATGTGGCCCAGAACACTTCACTTTTAAGGTTAGTGCAGTGTCAAAATATCTGTTTTTAGGGGCGCCTGGGTGGCTCAGTCAGTTAAGCGACCGACTTCGGCTCAGGTCACGATCTCTCGGTCCGTGAGTTCGAGCCCCCCGTCGGGCTCTGGGCTGATGGCTCAGAGCCTGGAGCCTGTTTCCGATTCTGTGTCTCCCTCTCTCTCTGCCCCTCCCCCATTCATGCTCTGTCTCTGTCTCAAAAATAAATAAATGTTAAAATTTTTTTTTTTTTTTAAAAAACACCAAATATCTGTTTTTAGTGTCAGAATATTTGACCGTTTTATCCACCTGGCAGTTTTGAATGGTATTAGGGCTAAGGTAGTATCCTGAGCAGTTTTATAAGAAAGTCCATTTTTCAAGAATTATTGCCATTTACTATTTTAAATGAAATGGAAGACCTTGAAAGTGCTCTCGACACTACCCCCACTTTTTATTTTAAGATAAGAAATGCTCTGTTCTCGATCTGAAACTGGTTGCCTAGCCAGTGATCAGTCTCCTACCTCAATGACCTTCCTTCAGTTCAGACTGTATATCCAGAGAAGAGAGATTTGGGATATAGATGTTGCTATTACAGGTGCCATTTGTATGTGTTATGTAAATACATTTTGTTTCTATAACATTGATACCTATCACAGGATATAGAAGCAGCAGAAAAGTCTCTACAGACCCGGAGTCACCCAATTCCATCACCAGAGGTGGTTTCTCTTGAGGTGAGAATCTTAAAGATCAAAAGTATAAGAAGAGACCCCATGCTGTTATGAGTACGTTGTAAATTAACTGTGGTTCTATGTATGTATTTCCCAGACTTATTTATTCAGTAAAATAAACAAGATATGTCTGATTGATCCTTAACATGTCCACAGTCCTGTGCTTTGTATGTAGGTGACTGATAAGTATCTTGATGTTAAGAAAAAAAAAGTGTCACATGAAAATTTTCTTAAAATCCTGTATCTTTTCATCTAGAAACAACTACACTGTTAAACCATGAGAGACACTATGCACTAAATCTTAAGATGACAGCATGCCTAACCAAAGTGCTTTTCCTGTTGGCTAATGTTAGTAGTTTAGTCCCTTCACCAATTTTCAACCAATGCTATTTCAATGCGTATTATCATGCAGTATAGTGTGGCTTTTGTCTGTTTTATTTTGCTCAGTTCAAGAACAGATTGGGAAGATTGTTGGCAAAAATAAATCCTACTTGGTATACGAATATATCTGTGATGAAAGGAAATTTACTCCATATAGAATAGTTTAATTTTATATTCCTAATGACCTTTTTCAAATACAGTTTGCTTGCTGCCTAACCAGAGATGTGAATAGACTCAAAATTAAAGGATGAGAATTTGCCCTTCAATTTTCTGTGTCATCTAGAGTAATAAGAAGAGGCAGTGATCAAGGATAGAAAGAACTCTGGTACAAAGTTGTGCCTTGGGCATGTCTTTTTCTTTGTTGAATTCTCCAATACCTTGCTCTGGCCTATACGGGGCCCACACAATAGGGGTTAATCCAGCCATGAATGGTGGAGAAACTCCCAACCACAGGCGATAGTTGGTATTTTTCTGAGCTAGTCTTGCACAGCAGGATGACCTCTATTTTAAGTGTTTCAGGCTACTTCTCAGACCACATGCATAGATAGATAGATATGTAGAACCGCTCACCATTTTCAACTTTCAGAACTCCTGTACCTTGTTAATGTGCAGAGTGGATCATTATGTATTCTTAATGCTATGGAATTCTTTGGTTGAATTTCCCAAAATGAGATTCATAGTGATAATCTCCTATAAAATGCCCTGCAAGGATAGAGATTTTTGGTAGTTTACTTTTATTTGGCTTTGTTAGAGCAGTCATGCAAAAAACCATCAAAGCTTCTAGAAACTATATGGTGATCTTTGCATGAGCCTCTGTAGCTTACAGACTTGCTATAGGCAGGCCATTAATACAGTATCTCAATTTCTAAGCCATTTAATGAAAAGTGGTTACATTATATTATTTTTTCTCAATATAAAAAAAAATTGGGAAGAAATTACAATTTACCATAACGAGTGCTCTTCTAAAAGGTATAATGGATGCATATTTTAAATGTTTCTCCCCTTACAATTAAGGAGTCCATTCACCTGAATCCTGTCCTGGTTACATTTCAGTTCCTGAGCTCATCGCAGGTCCAATCTTTTTAGGCCAACTATAAATCAGTTGTTCATGTTTAATCATTTCATTGTAATAACTTCAGTACACGTAATCATTTGGTAGGAGATTTGGAACAGTAACCGAAAACATTTAATGATCGTAGCCATAAATGATTCCACTGGTAATAATCACAAGGTTGGCCACAAGAGGGCGTGTAAAATCACAATAAAATCCTAAAACCTGTAATTCTGCCAGGCTCTGGTTTTACTGAGAAATTTGAAAATTAACACTAGTAAGTAGCCAGATTTCTTTCTAAAATTAACATAAAATATTCTGTAGAGGAAGTGCATTCTACGTCTATGTGTGCATGTGTGTGTGTGTACACGCATACACACACTTCAGTGAATAAACATTTAGACTATTATGAAGAGCCAAGTTCAATTGCTTGATATGCTTTTTTACTTTTGGATGTTGTGTTTTTTTTTTTTTTTTTTCCAGACTCTTTACTGGGCATCAGTAGAAGAATATATTCCCAAGTGGGAACAGTTTCTTTTAGGAAGAGCACCATATCCGATCGGTGTTGAAAATGAAAATGAAGCAGAAAAATACCACTCAAAGTGAGGCGCAGTGATAACTCCTTCACATGCTCTTTCAAAAGAACCTGTTTAGTACAGCCGAATATTAAAGAATATGCAGATCGTTTCAGGAACTTTAGCAATCGGGTATGTTCCCAGTGTCCCATTACCTTCTCAATGACAGTCAGGATCTGACAATCTGCTGAGTCTCAGGTTGTCACTTTGAGACCTACTAGTAGTTCCAGGTCAAGAATTTGCCTTCTGCCAAATCCATGGAAGTGTTAGTGTTAAAAGCTCACACTGAAAGGTGGACTGTTTATTAAACAAGTTGCTAAATAAGTGTGTGTGTCTCGTTTTAAGAAAAAAAAAAGCATTTACAGCCATTCTCATCTAAACAGTAAATACTGGCTGTTCTGATGCTACATTTTCTAGAATCCTTTTGGTTATTTTATTACGGGGATCATGTTCAGCACAGGATCAAAGTGGGTGTTGGTCCATTATTACAGTTTCTTCTAACAAGTAGAAAAAATAGAGACACTTAAGCTGCTTCAATATAATATTTATTAGAGAATGGATTTATAGGATTTTGTCCTTCATAGATAATCAAACCTCTGAAAAGTTCTGGGGGAAAGAACTAAACCATCAAGCATTTGATAAGTAGCCAGTTTCAGGAAGGCTCAGACTTGGTTCTGAAAAAGGTCCCCTGTTAGAGCTGAGAATGGTTATTGGATTTTGACTTGGTTATTTAAGGACTGCCAACCCTGTGAATGTCGATAACTCCTCTCATCTTCTCATCTTTAAACTTGCCCTTCCCTCTCCCTTCTATTGTCATGATTTCTGAAACTGTCAGAAAGCTTTGAGGTTCCTCAGTCTTCCACTGCTTGAACACTCAAAAAAATTTGTTTTTCTAATTATAGAGGCAGCTCCTGCTAGCAAGGGGAGTCTATACGTTCATTGCCATTCAAGCATTTAAATTTCAAACTGGTTTGTGTTTTTAAAAGAAAATAGGATAAGCTAAAAGAAAAAAAAAAAAACAACACTATATTGAAACGTCCATTGTGCTGATAAGTTCCTTTAAACTACCATCTTGGAAATATCCTGTTGAGTGGGTGGATGGTGTGGGTAACAATAACGTTGTTTTCATAATATGCGCTGGCAGATTAACATACTTCTCTACAGTGTTAACAGTTGTAATTAAGGAATAAACAGCACAGAGTGTCAGTCCGATGACAATTTCATCTATAGTGTCACAATACAAAATGTCACAAAATATTAGAACTGTTATGTAACTATAAAAAGTACCCGCTTAAAAGCTGAAAGCCTTTTTAAAAAAGGAAGACAGAGAAAGGAAGAAAAAAGAAAACTGGCATAGAGACCAGAACAATTTATACCTTCTCAAGAATGTTCTGACATGAAAATAAATTGATAATTTTTTTTTTTTCCTGTTACATCACAGTTTGGTTTCTAGCCATCCAGTTGATTTAGCAGGAGAATGCACGGCTTTTTAGCAGCTTTGAATTGGTAAACAGATTTAGATGTAGTAGAAAGGAACATGAGGAAGTTTTTTTTTTTTTTTTTTAACATCCAATCTTTCCCAGCATATGCACATAAGAAGGTGAATGAAGCGATGTGAAACTTATATCTCTTTAGTCAAGTGAAAAAAAAGGCTAAACATTTGTTGAGATAGTAAAATATTGTGTCAAGCAAGTAGGCACATTCCAAAATTAAACAGTGGTTGATACGTTAACATCCTCAAATATTTGAGTGCACACTTCCTTTGAGTTCTGTAAATTAAATCACCAGTAGGTTCGATTAAAATACAAAATGAATAGCAATTTAACCATGTCAAGAAAAGGTTGTTTTTTTCCTCCCCTAAGTTGACTGACTTGCTAAATAGTTTCTAAAAAGAGCATATATTTAATATACCCTGGGTTACCACTTAGGGAAGCGGGATGGATGTCATTTCTAGGCTTTAGCTGTATCATTTGCCCTGTTACTAGAGAATACCTCAAAAACTCCCAGAGATGACTTTATTCCTGGCCCCCACAGAACTCCCTCCCCTCCTTGTAGACTGTAACAGATTGCACCACATGGTGTATGTTTAAAAAAATATATATCCATAGGGACCTAGATACCCCATTAAAGGGCTTTATATTCCTCATGGCAAATTAGCTTTACATAGGAATTTCCAAGTACCGTTTTCTGTAAGGAGGGAAGAAATGCCGTATCTAACGTGTATTTTGTATTTGCTATCACTAGGAATCAGACAAGGAAACAGGTCATCTACTCATACTCCCCCTGCCCCCTACCACTGCTATGATTCAGCGTCCTTCCCGTTCACTCCATCTCATACCTGCTATTCATGAAAAACACGAATTCGGTATTTGGGGGTTTGGATTTTGGTTTTTGTCTGTTTACAATAATGGGATTTTCAAAATAAAGGTCATTTCAAGATTTTCTTCGCACTGCCTTGCTTGGATTGTTGCAAACACAGAGGTGCATAAATACTCAAACTCATTTTATGCTGGAAGACTTTTAGTAGATGAATTTATTAAACTATAAAATACTAAGGTCCGAAAGAGCTGCAGTTTTTCTCCACACTTGGTAAAATAAACTTGACTAAGGAAAAGCCCAACACTCTAGAAACCAGACATCTGGTCTTTCCCAGGAGGGGTGGGGGCGGGGGGCAGCAGGAGCAGTGCCAATGAAAGGGAGGTCAAATGGACAGTTTCCCTGTGCGTTACGTCCAAGGTGCTTTCACATGTCAGTGGAAGACTTGAAGGACTATAATAATCTAACTCTTTTCACAATTTGGTCTGGTCTGTTCCAATCCCTTTTCCATCAAAAAAAAAAAAAATACAATGGATATGTGGACATACTTATTTTTGAACCAGAATTAAAGTGAGTTGGTGATTTTCTCACTTCTACAATAACTGGAGACAGGCCAGGGGGCGGAGAGTCTATGAAAAGCCAGGGTTTGCAATCACAAGAGTAAGGTAGGAAGCTTTAAACCCCGTCAGGTAGGTTTTAGAGTATAAAATTAAATGCACAAGACCACGAATTTGGCTTATCCACAAAATGTATTCTTTTCCTTCCTTATTCTGTTAGTCTTTATTAAATAAACAAAGGTGAATTGGTTTAAAGTCTTTTTTTTAAAAAAAAATAAAGTTTTAAATCTAGAGTTACCACCCTCCCCGTTTCAAGAATTGTCCAAACATTATAGCTACATGGCTTAAAAAAACTCTCCATTTTAACAGTCTAGTTGACCTCTTCTACTTTGATTAGGATGCTAAGATGCCTTTTTTTAAGTTTCTGACTAAAAATTTACTCATCAGAGAAGGTACGAAGTACACAGTGAGTTCCAACAGAGGAAGGAAGGAAGGAAAAGAGGGAAGGAGGGAAGGAGGGAGGGAGAGAGAGAGATCAATCTGTGGAAAATACAGAGAAGGCAAAGAGAAATTACTCTGAGAAAGCTTTAAGTTGAAGCAAGAAGTACGCCCACTTCTTGTGTTTTATTTGTTTATCTTATAATTTAGAAGTTAATTTGTCTACATAGGAAATTTAATTCCCTATGGCTAATACAAGAACATTTAGAGTTTTCTGGGACAAACACAGAGACGTGTCAAACTTCAGCAATTAAGGAGAGGATTGATATGTGGATTTGACGGCTGGCATTGTGATCTCCTTTTCTAACTGGAACTGAGATTATATCCTTACTAAAATCCAAGACAAGGAAAATGACTCAAACAAAGACAGAGGCAAAAAAAAACACTTCCGGACATCATCTTACCTCTCAGAGTCGAGTTTCCTTGCCTACAAGAGAAAAAGGACCGGGTTCCCTACCTTCACAGTTAATGTTTCAGAGTTCCTGCCATTTTAAAAACTCTAACTGGTGTCTCAAAGAGAGACTGAGACTCGGCTAGAACAGTATCTAGATTGACTAGTACAAATCAATAAATACTGGCATTAAGAGGAAACAATGGAGTGTTCTTATTTTAGAAAGATGATTTAGTTTGTATTTTTTTAATTTTTATTACTTTTTTAATGTTTTTATTTTTGAGAGAGCGAGAGTGTGCACACACACACACACACACACACACACACGTGGGGGAGGGGCAGAGAGAAGGGGAGACACTGAATCCGAAGCAGGCGCCAGGCTCCGCGCTGTCAACACAGAGCCCAACACAGGGCTCGAACCCTCAAGATCATGACCTGAGCCAAAGTCAGACGCTTAACCAACTGAGCCACCCAGGCACCCCTGTTTCTGTATTTTTGATGACAGCTGGATCATTTAACCTCCACTGTTAGAAAAACTAAGGGGCCCCTGGGTGGCTCAGTTGGTTAAGCGTCCGACTTCAGCTCAGGTCATGATCTCATGGTTTGTGGACCCAAGCCCAAAAATAAATAAATGTTAAAAAAAATTTTTTTTAACTAAATACATAATTTGCCCTTCCCCCCCCCCCCCCCAATAAGTCTGGGTTATCAATGTATGAGTGTCTCTGATGTTTTACATGTTACCGCTTTGGGGACAATTCAGTCAAATTAGAGACGGACAAAATTCCAAGTGTATCTTTGTCTAATCCATCTCTATCTTCTTTCCTTTCCCAATGCAACATAATCATTTTTCATGTCTTATTCTCCATTTATAAGATCTATAAAATAGACATTTTGTATTGGACGCTCTTCCTCAGGAAAACCATTAATACTAAGATGTTCAAAAGAAGCTAAATACAGAGCCTTTGAAAATGATACACAGGAAAACAAAGCTGGGTAACATTTAAGCATCATTCATTCATTCATTCATTCCAACAGATCTTTCTGACTGCCCATCGTGTAGCAGGCACAGCTCTAAGCACCAAAAACACAGAACACAAAACTGCCCTCTAAATCCATGTCCTTAAATAATTTACATTCTGGAGGGGCACTGGGTGAAGAGGATTGAAGGTAGTGATTAAAAAACACAAACAGGTACCTGGCTGACTCAGTTGGTGGAGTTTGCTACTCTTGATTTCAGGGTCACGAGTTCAGGCCCCACACTAGGCACGGAGCCTACTTTAAATAAGATAAAATATGGGGCAACTAGGTAGCTCAGTCGGTTAAGCACCAGACTTCAGCTCAGGTCATGATCCCGTGGCTCATGGGTTCAAGCCCCATGTCAGGCTCTGTGCTGACAGCTCAGAGCCTCGAACCTATTTCAGATTCTGTGTCATCCTCTCTCTCTGCCTCTCTCCTACTCGTGCTCTGTCTCTGTCTCAAAAATAAATAAACATTTAAAAAATAGTAAGAATAAATGAATAAGTGAAATAAGTAATTATAAGATTTTTTTTTAAACTTGAAAAATACCTAATATATTAGATGGTAATAAGGTCTAATACAGTATGAACATCTAAAATATCTACTTAATGCAAGAAAACAAAGCACATTTCATAGTTTCTTAGAAAATAGGACTAGAAGACTTTGTCCCCCCATTCAAAGATCTTGAGGTAGGTTTTCCAATGAAGCAACGTTTTTCACTGCCACTAATTTGGATACTGTGTAAGCTTAATAGATAGATTTGCAATAAAGAATGAAAAAAAAATCCTCACTACTTCAACACATAATTTGTTACATCAATATTCACAGCAGCATTATTCACAATAGCCAAAAAGTGGAAAGAATCCAAATGTCCACCACTGATTGAATAAACAAAATATGGCATACAAAGGAAAGGGGAGGATCTATCCTTCCATCAAACAAAACAGACTTGAATCCAAAAATAGTACCAAGAGACAAAAAAGTCATTATATAATAAAGGGGTCAATTCATCAAAAAAATATATCCTAAATATATATACACCCAACATCACAGCACCTAAATATATTAAGTATATTCTAACCAATCTGAAGAGAGAAACAGACAGCAATAATAGTAGGAATTTCAACACCCCACTTCCACCAATGGATAGATCATCCAAACAGAAAATCAACAAGACAACACTGGACGTGAATCCTTTATCAGACCAAATGGGGCTAACAGACATTTATAGAACATTAAACCAAGGGCAGCAGTTTACCAAGGGCACACTGAACATTCTCCAGGATAGATCATTTGATAGGCCACAAAACAAGTCATAACAAATTTAAGAAGATGGAAATCATATCAAGTATCTTTTCTGACCACAATGGGACAAAACTGGAAATCAACAAAAGGAAAGCTGGAAATTTTATGGTCATCTGTAAACTAAACAACACACTCCTGGGCAATCTGTGTGCCAAAGAAGAAATCAAAGGGGAAACATAAAAACATCTCAAAACATGGGGCGCCTGGGTGGCGCAGTCGGTTAAGCGTCCGACTTCAGCCAGGTCACGATCTCGCGGTCCGTGGGTTCGAGCCCCGCGTCGGGCTCTGGGCTGATGGCTCAGAGCCTGGAGCCTGTTTCCGATTCTGTGTCTCCCTCTCTCTCTGCCCCTCCCCCGTTCATGCTCTGTCTCTCTCTGTCCCAAAAATAAATAAAAAACGTTGAAAAAAAATTTTTTTTAAAAAAACATCTCAAAACAATAAAAACAAATATATGATACAGCCAGACCTATAGGATGCTGCAATAGCAATTCTTAGAGGGCTATAGTGATAAATGAGTATGTTAATATAGAAATCTCAAGTAAACCATCTAACCTCAAGAACTAGAAAGAGAACAAACTAAGCCCAAAGTTAGCAGAAGGAAGGAAATAACAAAGATCAGAGCAGAAATAGAGACCAGACAAACAATAGAAAAGATCAATGAAAATAAGACCTTTTTTTTGTTTTGGGTTTTTTTTTTTTTCTGAAAGATAAATTAACAAAATTTTGGCTAGATGAAGAAAAAAAACTCAATCAGAAATTAAAGAGGAGACACTACAACTCAACTAATACTACAGACATACACAGGTTCATAAGAGATTACTATGAGCAATTCTATGCCAACAAATTGGATAACCTAAAAGAAATGGATAAATTCCTAGAAACATACAACCTACCAAGACTGAATCACGAAGAAATAGAAAATCTTAATCAGTAATCATTAAGGAATTTAAATCATTATTCTAAAATGTATTCACTGGTGAATTCTATCACACATTAAAGACTAACATCAATCATTCTCAAACTCTTCCCACATGTCTAAGAGAAGGGAACTCTCCCAAATTTATTTTACAGGGCCAGCATTACCCTGATATCAAAGCCAGATAAAGATATACAAGAAAACTATAGACCACTATCCCTGATGAATATAGATGCAAAAATTCTCAACAAAATATTAGCAAACCAAATTCAGCAACATATTAAAATTATCATACACCATGAACAAGAAGGTTTTATTCTGGGATGAAAAGATGATTCAATACACACAAATCAGTAAATGTAATACACATTAATAGAATGAAAGATAAACCATATTATCACCTCACTAGATGCAGAAAAAAGCTTTTTACAAATAAAAC